CGTCACGGCGATGACCGGAGGAGAGGCCATCCTGCGGTGCCGTGCTGGGGGGTCGCCGCCCCCTCACGTGCTCTGGCGGAGGCACGACGGTCGGATGCCGGTCGGTCGGGCGCGCCTCGATGCCGACTACACTCTGAGGATCACCGAACTCACCGTGGACGACGCCGGGGTCTACATATGCCAGGCCGAGAACGCCGTCGCTACCGTGGTGGCCAACGCTACGCTGACTGTCTACGGTGAGGATCGGGGTTTTATTGCTTAGTGTTATTCATTGTTGTTCTTGTGTATATATATGTATATAATATATATATATATATATATATATATATATATATATATATATATATATATATATATATATATATTTATATATTTTTTTTATATTTTTTTTTTTACTATTATATTTCTTCTTTTACTCTGAATTTGCATTTGTGTTGTTTATTTGTATTCATTCATCTCGTCTAATTATCATTATTGTTATTATTTTTATTATTATTATTATATTATTATTAGGGTTACTTTTGCATATTTTTTGTATTTCATCTATTCATTGTATTTATTTAATCTTTTTATAATTTTTGATTTGCTTTAATGAGTATAAAAATATTTCGGAATGCTTGTTAATACTGTATATTTTTGAATAGTTAAAATGATCTATTCTTTATTTTTGTTTGTTCATTTCAAGAACTAATAATTACTGGACATTGCGTCTTTGAGAATGTCAGTTTTCTTTACTTGAATCTAACTGTAAATACAGAACGAGCAAAAGTCTTGTGAAACATGACCCGAATTCTGTTTCGAAGTCAAATACTGCAAACGATGTCGTTTAGGTTAGGAGGGTTTCGAAGCGCCGTTCATCGTGCATAACTGGTTCGTGCCTGAGGACACATCCGGGTTTCCGTGACTGACTCCTGCACAAGTGTCCAAGTCCCTTATTCATGTTGTTCTTTTCCTCCGGCAGACTCGCCTCGCCTGGTGTCCGGGCCCGCGGACGTGTCTGTGGTGCTGAACACGACGGTGCGCCTTCCCTGCTACGGGCGCGGCACTCCCCCGCCCACGCCCGTGTGGACTCACTCCTCCCTGCCGCAGCAGCCCCTCAGCCCGGGGTGGGCGGGCCAGCACGCCTCCGTCACCAGGGATGGCACGCTGGTGCTCACGCCCGCGAGCGAAGACCAGGGAGGCTCTTGGACCTGCTCTCTCGTGAGTGAGGCCGGAGCCGCCCACGCCCGCGCCTGGCTCACTCTGGTGTCCCCCCGAGACACCCCGCCGCCCATCATCAGCGTCCCGCCCGCCAATCAGACTCTCCCCGCCCGCACGCACGCCACTCTGCACTGCCGCGTACAGGGTCCGCCCACGCCCACGCTTACCTGGTATCGAGGGGCGGCGCCCGTGAGGACCGACGGGAAGAGGATCTCCGTGGACAGGGAGGGCGACCTCACCATCACGAGTAAGGCGTCGCTTCTCAGTGTTTGTTATAAAGGTTGAATCCACAGGTCATGAGCAGTTGTCAACTTGTACTCTACCTTTCCTCGTTTCCCATTTCCGTATTGCTTTCTATGCATTTTTATTAACTTTCAGATCTAAGCTATAGTACTTATACACGAATTCCCTATTTCCGTATTGCTTTCTTATTCACTTTAAGATCTAATCTAAAGTACTTATACACGAACAAGTGAAAATAAGAAAAAAAAACTGATGACAAACATACCCATACACATATTAAGTAATAAAGAAACGCACACATATAAACACAAACACGCCAGTACATAGAATCCCACATACTGTAATCACTATAAATTCCGTAGTTTTTTCCCCTTTCGAAAAGCGAGAGAAACAGACTCGCAAAATGAACGTCTACATCTAAAAGTAAAACTCCTTGGAACGGTCCAGATGGTATACGCTTTAATGTGGATAAAAAGACGCGGGCAGTTTCGCAGGGTACAAATTTATGTGCGAGGAGAATCTATAGTCTATATAAGTTCACTGCGGTAACTTTTTTTTTTTTTTTTTTTTTTTTTTTTTTTTAGCTTTTGTATGTTTTTTTTCTAGTTTTTGTTGGCTCTTTCTGTTTTTCTGTTTCCTTTTTTTCCCATCTAGCTGTTCGATTTTCTGTACACTCGTTCTAGTTCTATTTATCTATCGTCTCTCTCTCTCTCTCACTCATTCATTTTCTTTTTCTTTCTTTTTCTCTCCTTCCCCTCCTACTTCCCCTTCCTTCCTTCCCTCCTTTTCACCCATTCTTCCTCCTCCTTCTCTCCATCTCTCCTTCCTCCCTTCCCTCCCACCCTCTTCCGCTTTCTCTCAACCTTTCCTCCTTTCATCCTCGCACTACCTCTCTCATCCCTCCACCCTTCCCTCCTTTTCTTCACGACTTTACTTTGTGTCTCCCTTCTTCTTGTCCCAATTTTCCCCACTTCTCCTACGTAGCGAAGCCCTCATTAAGCACAAAGAACAAGCAGCAGGAACAAACCCGTTCTAATTAGCAAGAGACACATCCTGTCATGCTTAAGTGACTCTTATTGTATGTTCTGACTGAGGAACCTTCCCGGGATTAAGAAGCTTTTAAGCTACGAGATGACTTTTTTTTTTTTTTTTTTTTTTAGATTTGGATATATATTTTTAATATTTATGGTATTTTTGATACACGTGCACACACACGTACGCGCGCACGTACGCACACACACACACACACAAACACACACACACACATACACACACACACACACACACACACACACACACACACACACACACAACACACACACACACACACACACATACACACGCACAAAAAACATATACACATTACACACATGTGTATGTGTGTGGGTATATATATATATATATATATATATATATATATATATATATATATATATATATATATATATATATATATATATAAATGTATGTATGTATGTACATATATATGAATATATATGTATATATTTATCCATCTACCTATCTATCTATCTACCTATCTATCTATCTATCTATCAATCTATATATCTATTCTATCTATATCTATCTATATCTATCTATGGCTATCTATATCATATATTATATATATATATATATATATATATATATATATATATATATATATATATATATATATATATGTATGTATGTATGTATGTATATGTGTAAATATAGGTTATATATACATTATAAATCCTTTTGGGGCATACGCAGATATGCTCCTATGGTTACAGGCACAAAAACATACATCTTCAGACGGAATACACACACAAACACTCAGAATTACACACACACACACACACAAAACACAACCTACGAACAAAACTATACAACCAAACAACAACCACAGCATTCCCCTGCCACGCACAAAGAAGCAAATCCACCCAACACATCCCAGCGATCAAGCATTGGGGATAATCCTTGAGCAAACACACCGAGGCGTAACTAGCATCGACGCTCCAAGGGTAGAAGTTGGAGCCAAGTACAAACTGCCGGATAATTGGGAAGGTCAGAAGCCGGATTAGTTTGGGATAGGAGGTTAAGAAGGATGGGAGGGGGTGGGAATGGAGAGGAAGGGAGGGAGGGGAGAGGAGATTGTAAAAAAGGTTCCGGATTAGAGGGGAGAAGGGGTGGATGGGAGGATGGGGGATAGGGGATAGGTATGGGGAAGATAAAGGGGATGAGAGGATGGGGAGGGAAAGGTAAAAGGGAGGAGATACGGGGGATAGAGAAGGAAGGGCACCGGATTAGAGGTTAGGAAGGGTGAGGATGGCGAAATGGGAGAAAGGGGGAGGGTAAAGAGGATTAGAAAACGAAATAGAGGGAAGAAAGGAGAGACGAAGAAGGAAAACAGGGGGGGAAAGGGAGAAGGGGGTAAAGAATGGGATTGGAGGATAAGACATATAAAGTTAAAGAAGACCATGGATAGAGAAAAGAAAAAGGAGAGAGTAAGCATAGATGAAAGACGAATGGGGGACGGGAGAGGAAGATGAAAAGGGGCAAATAGGGAGAGGAAAGTGAAAGGGAAGAGGAAGGATTTATGGGGTCAGATATGAGACTGAAAAAGATGAATAAATGCGAGTAAGAATAAGGAATATAGGGAGAGAGGGATAGAGAACGGAGAGAAGGGGTGCAGGGAGATAAAGAACATAGGGTGGAGAGAAATAAAGGGAAGAGGAATAGGAATAGAAGTGGATGATGAAAGTAGGGAGAGAAAGGGCACTATAAGAGAATAAGAAAAAGACGGAAGAGAAGATTGGAAGATAAGAGGAGTGGAAATAGGGTAAGAAACAAAAGCGAAATGGGGTTATGAAGGAGGGGTTAAAGGGAATAGGAAATGGAGAACAGATCGATAAATTATATTCTAGGAAAAATGGAAAATCATTAAGATAATTTTCCCGATTGGTTCGAAAGAAGGTACGAGGGAGACGAGGGAAAGAAAATGCGAAATATTGTTGATTCCAAGAATGGATTACTAAGCAAAAAGAAGACATGTCATTTAATACGAGCTACATTTTGATTAAGTCATAAGCTCCTTCTTTTCTTCTCTCTCTCTCTCTTTCTCTCTCTCTTCTCTCTCTCTCTCCTCTCTCTCTCTTCTCTCTCTCTCTCTCTCTCTCTCTCTCTCTCTCTCTCTCTCTTTCTCTCTCTCTATAAATATATATATATATATATATATATATATATATATATATATTATATATATATATATATCTGTGTGTGTGTGTGTATGAATGTATGTATTATATACATATACATTATTATATATATGCATATATATGTATGAATATTTATATTGTATATGTATATATTATATGTGTTGTTGTGTGCGTGTGTGTGTTGTGTAAGTGAGTGTGCATGTATATATGTATATATGCATGTAGCGTATGCATGGTAGTATGTATGTATGCATGTGCAATTCCAGGAGATAATAATCTGGAACAACAAGTCCACTTATGTTCCGGGAGACACGGACAACAACGAGTCTGAGAAATAGCGTGACCTATTCCTAGCACAGG